CCTGGTGTCCTCATTTCCCTTGCAGGGAAGGCTGCCTTCCTCTCTCCTTTCCCCACATCAGCAGCTGATGGGAGAACCATCTGCCAATCCCAGGAGTGCCATTATTGGTCCTGAGGTTCAGCTAGGATTTAGCTACAGTATCTCTCAGTCGCCAGTTCTCTGAGTCTGCAGATCTGTTGCCAAAGTTGAAGAAGATGGGAGGCAAAGGAAGAGAAGAGATGCTTCCCCATCCAGGCCTTTGAGCTGCTCCTTTGCTTGAGGAGGTAGATGAGTCCAAGAGAGGACAGCCTGAATAATAGCTGGCAGATCTGAGAGAGGCATTGTGTGAGTCATCTCCCTCTCTCTCCCTCTCTCTTTCAGAATGCAACATATCAATTTTTGTTTAAGGTACTTTTGAACATGGGTTTATTCCTTTCATGGAATACAGTAAATTTTGGTTCAAAAGCAGCTCCACCCCCACAAAAGCCAACATGTGTGCAGGGGTTCCTTTATCATGTAGACGCACATCTGGCAGGTGAAATAGAGGAAGGTTTTGCCCAGGGGTGGGTTCCTGTACTGGTTGGTACCGGTTTGCTTTGCTTGCTCACTCGCGCACCGTGCATTGCTCATTCATGCACAGTTGACTGTAATTTGTTCTACACATGCGCAGAAACATGCCAGTAACAGCAGAAGCGACCGGTTTGGGGGCATGTCCAGCCATACGACCCATGCCAAATCACCACTACCAATTTGGCCAAACCGGACCAAACTAGGAGCAACCCATCTCTGATTCTGCTCTATCCCTCTCCCTCTCTCCTTCCCTCTCTCTCTTTCTCCCCTCCATCTCTCCCTTCCTCTCCCTCCTTCTTTCCCTCTCTTTCTTTCTCCCCTCCCTCTCTCCATTTGTCCCCCTCCCTCTCCCTCTCTTTCTCCCCTCCCCCTCTCCCTTCCTCTCCATTTGTCCCTCTCCCTCTCTTTCTCCCCTCCCCCTCTCCCTTCCTCTCCCTTGCTCCTTCATCCTTCCTTCCCCACTCTCTTCCTCTCCCTCCTTCCTTCCCCCCTCTCTCCTTCTCTGTCTCCCTGTACCCCTCTTCCTCCCTCCCACTCTCTCTTTCTCCACTCCCTTCCTCTCCCTTGCTCCCTCTCCATGCTTCCTTCTGTACTCTCTCCCTGCTCCCTCCCTCCCTCTTTCTCCCCTCCCTCTCTCCCTTCCTCTCCCTTGCTCCCTCTTCATCCTTCCTTCCCCCCTCTCTCCCTCTCTCCTTGTTCCACTCTCCCCTCTTTCCCCGCTCTCTCCCTCCTTCTACTTCATTGCACAGGCTATCACCCGTATACACAAAGCTGGCAACATGCAAGCTTGCCAATGGCAATGAGATGTACAGCCTAATTTGAAAGAATGGCTCTTCTTTTGCCCAAAGCTGAATAGTCCCAGGGGATGCTGGGCAGGAACCAGAGGGAGAGAGATACTATGTAGGTTTTGGACTGACCTTCCTGCCTTGGGAATCAACTGACTTCACCGTGGACAAATGGTTGGTGAAATGTCTCAAGATGAACCCATCTGTCTAGGCATCCACAGCTACTCACAATGATGCCCAAATGATGGAATGTGCATGGTGACATCACAGGCGAGCTCCGGCCTTTCTAAGGTGTGTTACAACATTGCATTCCTAAGAAGAGGAGTTGGCAGTGCATACTATATTGCTTGCCCCCCTCCCTTCTTCACCGACACCTGTGCCCCATGGTGTAATTTCAGCTTACTGGTTGCTTAAAGGAAAAGAAGAGCCCCTTTAACAAAATAACTGCTTAGGACAACTTTCAACTCCTCTGGGGTTGGGGCACAGAAAGAATGCAAGATTTTGATCGAGAATAAAGATTGCCAGGGCAATGTCCTTTCCTTAATTAAAAGAAAATGGGGAATGGTCTTCAGGGATTAGTCCCAATCAATGCTAGTTAGTCTCCGAAAGATTGGAAGTGACACCAGATTGAACCAAATAGACTTCTAATAAAGAAGCTCTGCAAAAAATACCCCACAACTGAATTAAAAAGAGCCTCCCCCATTGGTTTGAATAGGAGAGGACTGGAGCATCAAAATACCCCAGACTGACTGACTCAGGGACCAAACAACCTGATGATTTCCAGCTATTTTGGACTCCAGCTCCAGGCAAGATGGGGAATGATAGACAAGGTAGGAGCTAAATACCTGTGCTACTTAAAAATGAGATTTGGGTTAGGAGAAGCTCTTTGACTGAGGATAATGCAAGTGGGTTATTGAGCACTTCAGTGCAGGCAGGAGGGAAGTCTGCCAGAAGAATGGCTGGCTCAAAACCGAGCTCTCCAGTCTAGCACAAGACATCCTGATCCGGGAAGCTCATAAATCAAGCGGGGGAGTGATAAATAACTTGTTGCTTGTTGGATCCAACTAGCAGCTGCATGTAAACTGAGAAGCAGGGAGAGGGAAGGAAGGGGCCCATCCCAAAATCCTAGCGTATTTCTCCCACGCTAAGTGATTGAGTCTAAAAGTAAACATGGTGAAAGAGTTTGCTCACCAAACACACACACACACACACACACACACACACAAATGGAATGGAATGGAGTAGAGTAGAGTAGAATAGAATAGAATAGAATAGAATAGAATAGAATAGAATAGAATAGAATAGAATAGAATAGAATAGAATAGA